AACATTTTTATCATCATCTTAAAGTGGATGTATTTCTAAGTATACCTGCCAAAAATTAAGAGTTGTTTATTCAAAATTTCCTAGAATGTATGTGAATTTACATATTGGCGTTTTTTTAAATTTGGCATATTTGTTATAAAAAATAATAATGCCAAACGTGGCTTATGCATTTTGTTAAAATTATTTGAAATAATGAACGATGACATTTTTCTGCTCATTTACAATGAAAAAAAAGGAAAGGAAAATATGTTGCTATAAAGTAAGAAGTTCCCCCAAATTAATTATTCTTGGGGCAAACTGAAAAAAAATTGTGACGATAAATTTTTAAATTTCTCCATAAATTTCACACCATATTTTACAAAATTTAATATTTAGGCATAATTTGAGTCATAGATTGGAAATAAGGAAAAAAAATTGACATGTAATTTTGAAAAAGTCTGATTTTATGTCAAAATATCTATATTAGAATAGTGCTATACAGTCAACAGTCATTAATTCGGACACCCATAATCCGGAATGATCTATAATCCGGACCTCAAAGCTACAAACTTTCTGTGCATGCGTTGCGTTGACACATGCGCGTAAGACCTTTACGGCTGCAAATATGCGTGTGCGCACATGCATAATACGTTTACGCATGCGCGTTTAATTTATAACGGATGGTATAGCTAAGCTAAAATTATCTAATTCAGTTAATGTTGCAGATTGCGTTGTTCGTTAATCTTCGAATTGGATCCAGCTTATTATTTTTTGCAACATTAACTGAATTAGATAATTTTAGCTTAGCTTATACTGACTATTATACATTAAACGCGCATGCGTAAATGTATTATGCGCATGCGCACACGCATATTCGCAGCCGTAAAGGTCTTACGAGTACATGTAAACGCCTATGCGCAGAAAGTTTGTAGCTTTGAGGTCCAGATTATAGTTCATTCCGGATTATGGGTGTCAAAATTAACGACTTTTGACTGTATATAATAGTTTAGATTGTTAATTAGTTTAATTACAGTCCATTTTGGTTAATTAACCAAACCACCATGTGCACCCAACATATGCTAGAAACATATTAGCTTTTACAGAGTTTTGATGAAGTAATTACTGATTGAATAAGGTTGTGAATAAGCTGCTTGGTCAGATTAGTGAAAAAGCAGGCGTGAATAGAGTTGGAAAACAAGATGTATAAGTGGAATTTTGTATAAAAATGGGGAAAATTCCTATCGAAATATTCCAAATGCTTAATCAAACATACAAGGATAATGGTATGAATGAAATGCAGTGCTCTGATAAGTTTCAGCATTTTATAAACACCAGAAGTTTTGTTGCTGATGATCCAAGGACTGGATCATCTACCATGTTATCAGATAATTAACATGTTTATTTTGCACCACGAATTTGTCCCATGCAGTCAGATAAAGTCTAACCCAGAATTCTAACATGACTGAGAGATGCTTTGCATAGGAAGAAATTTGAAATAATGCCCCAACTCAAGCATAGTTCTTTGTCAGCAATTATCTGGCAAAGCATTACACTTCTCTTGTGCACCATCCAACCTACTCTCTGAACTTGGCCTCAGCAGACATTTCTTCTTTTCTCAAACTTAAAACCATTCTGAAAGGACATTGTTGGAAGTCCATACAGGAAATTCAGAAATGTGATGGTGCCATCAAAAAGAGTGATATCCAACAGGCATTGCAGAAGTGAAAGAAATAATGCATTGACATTAGAAGAGAGTACTCTGAATGGATTATAAATTTGTATAGCGAGCCATACCGCAAGAACAGCAAAAACTGAACCTTTTTTAAACCCACATAGTGTTAGCCAAGAAGGGCTATTAGTCTCAAAATGGGTGCGTTGAATCATTTTTCAAGTTGTTGCCACCAAATATTATCATCCTGTATTATATTTTAAGAAATTAAATTACAAAGATTCTGCATGAACATATGTATGTTTCACGTATTGTGAAAAAACAAAGGTGCCTAGGGTCATTAAATTTTCAATAGCGTAGCGATTAACTCAAGTATGATCACCTGGAACCCCGAATTTGGAATTTTAATTGTCTATTTTATATTTTTGTAAAACTTTATCGAATTTTTTATTGAAAAAAAAAAAAAAAATCAATGACTTCAAAGCGAGCAGTGGCAACACTACAGGGAATAAAACACTTTTCTTTCCAGAGAGCGAGACTGTCTATCGGAAATTCTAAAGATAAGCTGTTTTTAAATATTTTCAGCACTAAGTGGTGTTAGCCCAGTTTGAAACATGCATGTGTTTGTAAATGAAAAAAAAAATGCCTGTTTAGGCATAATATAAAATTTGAAAACTTTCGGATATTTTTTTAACAGTCCTCATACTGTGATAGAAATTAAAATGGGAAATGTTGACGTCGAAGATAATTCTTATGATGCTTATGAAAATGTAGAAATGCTACATACAAAAAGAGAACTCCCTACCAGCTGCAATGCATGACATTAATAAATTGTTTTCAATGTAAACAGCTGAAAAGAAAAATTTGAAGTCTCTTGATTTTTTTAATAAAAATATTCCTACAATCTGCATCATAAAATTTCATATTATTTTTGTGCTAAAAAATTACACAAAAGTTAAATTCATAAATATTTCTTGTTACTGATTTTTAGTGTTTTTGTATTTTTATACATTTTATGGATAAATGACTGTTTAAAATTACAAATATATATTTTAAATGGAAATGTGTAATTGGAGAAATGTGTCTATGACTTTTATGCTAAGTAATTTTTTTGTGTAAAATTATTAACATATGCTGAGAGTAAATAAAAAAAAAAAAAAAAAAAAAGTAACCGCACAAAATAACAATTGTATATAACTTTTTTTTTTAAATAGGAGTAAAATATTTTTGTGGGATATAAGACAGTGCTATGATTCCAAAATCTATTAATTTTTATGCAATTTTTGAGATGATCTATTTTGACTCATCACCAAATCAGATACAGTGAACCAAACTTTCAGTCACTTGAAGTTCATTATGGCAAAGTTTGACTGTATTACCTACTTAATTTACACAGAAAATTATTTTCTATCTAACATAGTTCCAACACAAACTGAACTAAGGTATGTTTTTTTTTTAAACTTTAAAAAGCCAGGTTTTAAACTGATTATTGTACCTTTCTCTACAAAGCTGTACTACTGCAATCATCAAGTTATTTATGCTGATCTTGAAAGCTGCACTGCACTAGTTTAAGGCTACAGAGAGCTACGAATACACACAATTTAACAGTACGTTAACATGATTTGATCTTCCTTTATTCACACTCAGGAGTCATTTCATATACAGTCAAAAGTCTTTAATCCGGACCTCAAAGCTACAAACTTTCTGCGCATGCGTCAATGCATATTGCTTTAACGCATGCGCATCTATTCATGCACATAATACATTTACGCACGCACATTTAATGTATAACGGACGGTATAAGCTAAGCTAAAATTATCTATTTCAGTTAATGTTGCAGATTGCGTTGTTCCTTAATCTTCTAACTGGATCCGGCTTATTATTTTTTCGGACTGTTAGAGTAATTTTATAAAAGTAAGCTCGAACTTTCGATTATGTCAAAAAGAATTTCCGATTCTGGAGCTACCAAAGGATCTACAAAGCGAAAGCATGTTTTGATGTCCATCAAATAAAAAGTGGAATTGCTGCAAAAAATGGATAAAGGCATATCCTTTGTTTCTCTAATCATTCGAAATCTGTTTATCAATTTCACGCTGCTCTGCTGCGGAGGGGAGGGGGGGAGAGGGGTGGCACGCAATGAATTGGAAGTTGATCTGTCAGCACTACCCTTATCTTGAGAGCAGATGTTTTTATTTTATTTGGCTTATAATTCCTTACTAAATGTAGTATTTCATCTCGATGTACTCCGTCTTTGATATGATTTAAATCAAATTCCTCGTCGTTATAATTCGCTTCCGATAGTGAAGAAAGTGACACAGAGGTTATTGAAAACGAAAAAATTTCGATTGATAAATTAGTCGGTATTCTCGACACAGCAATTATAAGACTTGAACAGCGGAACTTTGTAACTGAAGAAGAAATTATGTCTGTTTATAGAATTAAAGAGAAAGTATTATCACATAAGATGAAGCAACTTAAACAACTTACATTGAAAGAAATGTTTAATAAAGTAAACAAATAAATATTAAGCTTTTTTTTTTTGTAAATTTTGATACCCTTTAGATCATAATTGTTTTTTATTTCATAAATTACGGTTTCATATTTTTAATTTTATAATTTCTGCATGCCATCTTACCAGATTTAAACTGGTGATCTATAATCCGGAATCGACGACGTCCCGACGAGTCCAGATTAAAGACTTTTGACTGTATATAGAATATCAAGATTACATGAATATCGATAAGATCACATCAGCCATGCACTCCCTCGTGACAGCCAATGATCTACCACAGTATTGCTACAGCAGTTGATCAAGATGTCTCACCTGAAAAAGAGAGCACTATCACTGAATATCCAAAAAACTGGCACAGCTTGATCTAATGAGTTGTGAACTAAGTATTTTGTGCCAACAACAACTATTAGCATCAGTATTTTTAACTGGACTCACAAATTCAGTTAAAAGAAAATTTTTAAAGTGTAAAACTATTTGTTCCAACAAAATTCAAAGAACACTACTTTTTTTAATCAAGTGCTCAGATGCCATTCTTTTTACATTTTTTTCTGACAATATTTATTCATACTACTAAAGCACTTTTTTAACCATGTATTCTTTTCTTGGGGTTATGGCCCATTAAGCCCATTTCATATCAAGCTGAACTTCATAATTATACTCATTGTGTAATCAAGTTCTCAATAAATATAATTTATAAATTACTTTTAAACATAATGATAAAAATTATTTTAAAGATAATGATTATAAAAAGTGCTGTGGTGAAACTGAATGAACAACACTTCTAAACCAGATAGCAAAATTATCCTAGGCAAAGTATTTTTAGAACTAGAAGCAACTTACTGAACCTGTCAGCATGTCATACATCAAAGCCCCAAGACTCCACCAATCAACTGCTCGTCCATGTCCACTCTGTGTTAAAATTTCTGGAGCCCTGTACATGTAATGTAAAAGAATATTGATTACATAACTGTAAGAAAATTTCAACAGTAACAATAATAAAACAACTCTAATAAACTGTCAATTTGAGAGATGCTCATAAAAAATTCTTAACAGCACATATATATTTCAACTTTAGGAAAGTGTGGGGATAAGAAATAGTAGTAGTTTACTAAATTTAAGAACTGTGCAAAAATCGATTTCAGATACACTGAATCAAGCTGTCTGTTGCAATTAATGTTAGATTCTGCCTCTCTTCTAAGTATACTCAACTTTTATTTTTTTAACTTTGTTACATGTCAAATTAATTATGAAAACAAAACCTTTTTTGTGCTTACTCTCATTAACACATCTTACACTTTTCTTTTTGAAATAATTTAAATAACCCACATGGAAAAATTTGAAAACTATGATGATATAGTATATGTGTGCGCATGTGTATAAAATATAAAATTTGAAGGGCAATTGGCAATACACTTTTTTAACTTCTGAATTTTCAATTAAAGTACATCCCCTTCAAGACATCTGTACTTTTCCTGCAGTAACTGCATTGCTTTAGACTTTTGCCCAATTGCTGCTCAGGATTAAAACAGACTTTCTGAGCTTATAAATATTACGCAACTACTAACCATCGCTCTTTTGCTGCCTATGCTTGCTAGCTAAAAGACAGCTTTGCCGCTTCTATTCATTATTAAAAATGGAATATGCAGTAGTTAAAATTGTGGGATCCAGATTGCTCCTATCGTGCAGTGCTGTGTCATAGAATAATCCACAAGTAATTCTTCAAACTTGGTCATTGCCTTTACTATATTACCAATATTTCGGTAATCTTATAACTTCAATCCACTCATGAATGGAAAATAATTTCTCGTTTTCCCTGGTCAAACACTCATCTAATATCAAATTACCTACAACAAACTAAATTATCAACACACATGCACACGTGTAAAGAAAACATGTAATGCAAATAGCCAGCTAATGTAAATGCTGTTAGTTTAACAAACAAATAAAAAAATAATATTTCTGTAAAATGCACTCTGTGGTTTTAAATTACATAGAATAATGTTTGAGATCAGAAAAACTAATTTGATAAAGAATTTTCCCAATTATTTGAACTGATGACAGGACTAAGATGGAGATAAATGGCTGACTACACATAGATTAGTCTTACACAGATGGTAAGGTGGTCTAATAAAGTGATACAACATACTGTGAAAATAATTTTAAGAAACTGGTAATGTGAATGGAAGATCAGACTTAAGTTGTCCAATGTAATAAACCAAATAATGACATCTGATCAAAACAACTATGTCACCATTAAGTACACACAGCCCCACAAATAGATGACTGGTAAACAGATCCTTTAGGGGGCAAACACCTTAATATAAAGGTACTGCATTTCACAGTGGCCTAATTTAAATGTAGGGATCATTTGCACAAGAGATGAAATCCCTATTCACTCCATGAGGTTCTGCTGCAAGGCAATTGCAGAATAAGCTGCAATTGCCTTGCAGCAGAACTTAAAATTATTTTCATGCTAAAAATGTAACAACATTCAAAGCTCATACATAGAAAAAGATAATATAGATGAAATGATGAGCCTAGTCCTTAAACCTCAGCCCTGTATTGCATATTTGAAATCTCAAAGGAGTGTTACATGAAAAAATATCTTTTCTTTATTCCATAGAGCAAGTCTGAAATAAATCTGAGTGCCAAGGTGCTGATCAACAAGTACTTGCAACAAAAACTGAAAACATACAGCAATAAGAAAATTTAATCAATATTTTGCTTTATGATGTTAGGCTTAATTTCAAACAGCATTTTATAATAAAAAATTTTCTTAAAATCTTCAGTGCTAAATAAGTCTTTCACAAATTGTTTAAAACTTTCCAGCATCAGCAAGAAGACATTCATAATACCAGTTATGTAAATCTAGATGCTGTTCCTTTCCCCCCCCTCCAACTGTTTCATGCATCAAGCAATAGCATATTTCATGATATGGGACACCTCATCTAAGACAAAGGATATGTTTATTACAATTTTAATCCTCTCTGAAAATGGAGCACCTTGAGATTTGCAGGACTCTATAACTTCACTTTTGGCATTAAGTGAACCCCAATTTTTATTTTACAGTATTTTTGTCTTTATGTGGGATATATACCCTCTTGATCTACATTCCCTGCAGATAGATGATGTAAACAATCCAGACAGCCAGGCCCTTTATTTATGGACATTAATGAATATATCTTAAATTGCCAAAATTTGTTTATGTTTCTAAGAATAAAATTTTGGGTGTTAATAAATATGAATAACGACATTAAGAACATTTCAATCTTTGAAAAAAGGCCCAAATGGAGAAAGTCACAAATTGCAGAAATTCTTACATATATTCAATTGTTCCACAAAATGTGTGAGTTATTGAGCCATCTGTTATAGACTCTTTACAAAGGCCAAAGTCAGTGAGCTTCACATGACCTGAGAAAGACAACAGAAACAAAAATTCAGGGTTAATATAATCATTCTTCATGAATTTAACTGATTTACAATTTCCTACCTAATTATTATTAAAGAAAAGAGGCTTGAATAATAAATATCTAAAAGCTTACAATTTCCTACCTAATTATTATTAAAGAAAAGAGGCTTGAATAATTAATATTTATAATAAATATCTAAAAGCTTAATAAATTTATCTTACTGCTTGACTACTGAAATAAAAGACATATTTACCCTCCGCATCTAATAAAATATTCTCAGGTTTCAGATCTCGATAGATAATCCCTTCACGATGTAAATGTTGCAAAGCTAATATTATTTCACTCAAATAAAAGCTGTAAAATACAAATTTTAAAAGATATATAACCAAAAGTAAAGAAATCTGCATATAAAAGTATGCATTTCTATGTACACAAACATTTACTGACCCAGATATTTAGCAATCCTTTTTTTGATTAGTACAGTTTTTAAAAACTAGGATACCTGTAACTTACATTTTTGAAGCAATTTTAAAATTGAAAGCACACAAATTAGCCAATTACATATGACTTATATATATAATCCCCGAAGCATTACTATTAAAAGTATAATAGTTGTTTCCCCACTGAAGAATGAGATTAGAATCTGCCTAATCTGGATTCAAAATCATCTTTTTTTGCAGACATTTTGCTGCTGAATAAAAGAAAGAAGTCTAATGATATTTTTATATAATTAAATTTCGTGATAGCATGCCATCGCACTGCTAGAATTAGTTTCAGGCATATGTCACATAAAATTGCTTGAAATCTGAAAGTAGTATAAACTAATAATAAATAAATATAGTACGAAGAAATCACATTAAATGACACGAATAACATTAAAATAAAATTATTTAAAGATTAAAAATTGAATTACAATAATAAACAATATTTTGGCAAATATAATGGTTAGCTTAGATGAGTGATTACAATTTTTTTTATTTTACTGCAACATGACAAATAAGGTATTTAAAGATTCTGCGGTAAAGTCCTAGAATATGGTATGGTATGGTCTTGGCACGATTTTGAAAATTGTCGCCAACATCAAAACGGCCAGTTTACAGCTCATTATAATGTCACCAAATCACTAGGATTAAACCAATTTTGCTTTATACGAGAATGGGAAGGTACTTTCTTTCATTCAACATGCACTGCACATGCGAGTCTCTTGATTACTGAAAACTTGCTTTGCTTTTCTAAAAGACAATCTGACTCGAACTATGAAAATTAGTTCTACACCAGCTGCCTGAATGACGTTCATGCGATACATAATTCGCCAAGAAAGTGATCGCTTCGAACGTTGGAGCAAAAATCGCTTTTTCTTTGGATCGCCGTTATGAAAGTCCCTGACTTTTGCAGATTTTGATTCAAATGTTTATATTCCCTGACTTTTAGCTGACATTTTTGGTCAGTTTTCGAATTCCCTGAAATTTTCCAGTTTTCCAGGTAACGTGGCAACCCTGCACGTTAGGCCATATGTGACAAGATTTCGATTGTCTGATACCATATATAGTGTTATACAATTATATATGATATACAATTTTACTCTTTAAAATGATGTACTTTGTTATTTTGTAATGCTACTTTTTGGGCTATGATAAACTTTTAAAAGTGTTTCTGAACTTTTGTGGAATGCTATATTTATTTTTCTTCACATATGCCAGCATATAGAGATTACATAACCAAGATATAAAAAATTCCAATATTTTTTTTGTCACAAATGATAAAGAGCCTATATTTTAATGTGGGATTGCAGATAAATATTCGTTAATCCAAACTGCACAACAACTGTTCAAATTACAAGACATTTCTAAGTTTCTGAATATGCTAACAAATTTTATATCACAGATAACTTGCAATTTACATTTTAACAGATTACTTGTCAAAATTAAAAGATAATGATAAGATTATTGAAAATACTTACTGAAAATGATTACAAACAATTTGAAAAAAAAAAAAAAAAAAAAACTTAACATTAAATGTTTGCCAACTGATTAATTTCAAAATACTGAATTTAAGTCAGATTTATGGAAATTTTAAAATGGATAAGTGATTTCTTCTGTTTTGTGACATTCTTTCTTTAATATAATATATACACAGAAAAGCAAACTTCACATCTTCACTGAATTAATAAAACTGCTAATCAAGTCTTGTGAAACAGCATACTCTTTTTCTAAGAGTGCACTTCTCAGATCCTGGAGGGTCTGGAAGGCATTTGGCATGCTGCAATGAGGTGCTGTATCCCTCAGGTGCTCAGATGGTAAGTTGGCCAATCCATCAGAGTGATATTTTTTGCTCCAGATGTTCTGGTATCATATATATTCACTGAGGATCAACACTGCCATCCCATTACCAAAAAATTTGGGTCTATCACCCCTATAATTGCTATAACCATACTTAGTTTTCCAATGACAGATTACAGAATTACATGTAAGTAAGTGATCAGTTACAGTACATCCATCAAAGAAATACAGCTCTGAGCTGCCATTTTTGTTGACTCTACCCTGAAGCGGGATATTTCAAACAAAGGAAGGTGGCAAGCTGTCTTAAACTATTCCCTTTCACCAGATCAAAACACTTTTAGAAAATCCATGGACTTGTTAATACACAGTACATGATCCCATTTCTCTAACAGCACTGATGATGATGGCAACTTAAATTAGTACCTTTACATGATAAAGCCTTTGTTTTTTCACATAAAATGCAGAACTTAGCAGTTGTAGAAGATAAGCACAACTGCTAAGTTCAATTTTTATAGCAGACTGAAGGTCTAAACTCTCTTGAAGTTATTTCATGGTTTCTTCCAAGCTGACAATGACATAAAAGTCTTTAGATGCAATTGTTGCTTTAGGAAGAAAAAGGGAATTTTGCATTTTGTTCAAAAGATGGAGCACGTTTTAGACAGATATGCACTAAAATTCAAAAAATCCAAATTCATAACATGAACTCATATTTTCAAAAACTAAAAATTGAAAATTAGTTCAAAATTTCACCAATGAATCGAGGTATGCACATTAGGGTTTCTCCACCAACAAAAACTTTGATTTTTGTAATGTTTATGTATGTTAATAGTGGGTCGTTGTCAGCTGAGTTTGACTGCTAAGACATTAACTGATTAAAACCTAAGCATGAAATCAGCCATTCTAGCTTTATTAGTTTTGTACTCAAAAATAGATGAAAACATGCCAGGGCCAAATCGTTCGGTCAGTACAAAACCTGAGCAGCTTTCAGGAAAACTGCACTATGGACAAGAGAAGCGACACTGCTGGCTGTGTCCAAATAACTTGTGACAGCAATTAGTGATCAGTGATTGGGAAGCTGTAAGAATAATCACTATACCAAGTTTATTAGTCTTGCAGATCTTGCACAGTGCATTCAAATTGTGTTCCTATATCTTGTAATCATTCTATCAACTGAAACCAAGTATATTCAAAAATGAGAGGAATTTGCCAGTTGGAGAAATGAGAAAAATTGTTGTTTATCTAAAATGGATTCTCAAAACACCATAGAAATAAAAAATATATTTTTCATCACAGAAAATTGTTGCACTAAGTTAATATCCATAATTGTCAAATACAGGCAAAGGACAGTCCCAAGTGTACACAGAGAAGACCTGCTGCACATAAGTGTACGATACAGCTTCGCTGCATCCACCTTCACTGCCCTATATTTCCTTTTTTGAAAGTCATAAGCAGGAAACAACTAGGAAATATACTACTACCTGAAAATGATATATGAGAACAAGGTATCATATTTAAGGGAATGAAATCTCATAACATTAATTACATTCACGCAAGATTAAGTCTCCCTCGTATATTAGTAAGACCTACATAGTAGTCTTCCTCGTAAGGGCATTTGATTCCAAATAACTTATTAGTTGTTCATGCCCAGCTATCGAGCTTCCTCTTTTGTCAGTTTCTTTGTTGTGGGGCTATTTGAAATCACATGTTTTCATCATACAGTTTAGAGCTTTCAATAAATAATCAACACAAAACTTGGTCCATAACAACAAAGTAATTTTGCACATAAAAAAAAGTCTTGCTGTGATAATAATAATAAAGATATTAAAACATTAAGGCAGAGAAATTTGCTTGTCACAAAAAAAAAAGTGGTATACTTTGTTTTTTCTTTTTTTTTAATATCTTTGAAATATTCACCAATAATAAAAAGCTGGCTGAAAATCAAAAACATTGTAATGAAAATGCTTTGCTTAAGAAACATTTTGATTCATTTAGAAAAGAGCTCAATACATGAATAATTGGCTTAATATCAGAATAATATATCCCTTGAGTTAAAAACTACCAAAATGGTGATAATGTGCCAAATCTGGCTATCCTTTATTTATGATTGGTTTTGCATAATTATGAAAACCTTCAACTAGGTTCTTCTTTGACACAAAAATGTTAACTTATTTCATGCTCGATTTTCTCTCTGTTAATTTACACATGAACTTTAAAATAAATTTCAGAATTTTCTTTTGTTCGTGTGTCTCTGTACAGAAAATATATATACTTATGAGTTAAACATATATGCTTCTTATGTCATTGGATAATATAAATGCAGAATGAGTTCTGAATAAATAATTTAATAATTTTTTGGATTCTGCAGCTACCTGATAAATATATAGTCTTTGCTCATAAAAGTAAAAACTTTTCTGTGACTTTATATCTCAACTAAAACACAAATACAATACAGGTCTTTCACTCCTATTTCATTAATTTATGTGGTGCACGAAGTACAGAAACAACATGGAGAACTTCTATCATGTGTTTCCAAAGCCTTAAAATTTTTTTGAAACCATTTGCAGATCATGAAGAAAAGTAAATATAAATTTTAAGTTATATTTATCTCATTTTAAATTGCTATTTTTTGCATTTGAAATTTTATGCATCCATGTTTTTTCTCAAAATCACTAGAAACCCATTTTGAAAACTGTTTTTGTCCTTGGTGCATCAGCTTAATGAAAATTTTTCAATGTCGCCAAATAGTACCCTGCAGTAGAAAACATCATGAATACTCATTTGGTTAATTTCTTAAATATTTATACCAATGCCTCCCAAACAGATTCAAATGGTACCGTTTACAATATTTAAAATTTGAATTTTCTGCAAATTTTAATCACATCATTTATGTGAATTAAAAAATAAATATTTGTTTGTTACATACATGCCATTTCTACATTTAAAAAAAAGTGTCAAAATTTTAGTACAATAAAGCAAAATTTCTATTTTTAATATGTGAATTAGCTCTTTGAAAACTGCTAGATGCAATTTAAAAGATTCCAGAATTGATAAAATTAAGGAAAAAATACAATAAGCAGGGGAAAAATGTTAGCGGCTGATTTATATAAAAAATAATTAACTAAATATATAATAATATCATATTATGATACAGGAACATGTACTTTTCCATTAGCTTGCATGATAATAATGTCTCTTACCAAGCTGTGTCTTCTAATAACATAACTTCTCTTTCAAGATGCATAAATAACTCTCCTCCACTTAAAAACTCTAAAATCAAATATAATTTTCGACCAGTTTGAAAAGCATAGTGCAGATCAACTATGAAAGGATGCTGTAATAAAACAAATTTTAAATAAGAATTTAAAATGTAGGGAGAAAAAATATTCTATTAAAATACTACATAAAATGAAATATTTAATTAATTCACATAAAATGCAAAGGTGCCCCCATTAAGCTAAATTAATAGCAAATCACAGTTACCTAAATTAATGAACACTACTTAAAAATACAACATATACTAAAAATTATAAAAATTTCATAATATGCCTATCGTAATTTTATTTTGCAAAGCATGTGCTTACATAAATAGTTCTATTAAATCATTTGAAAACACCTGTCAATGCCCCCATTTGCAGAACTGGGAAAAAAAGTCACTCTTTTTAAGGGTTCCTACACAAAGCATGAGTTTCATAATTAAATTATGGAAATGCTTACAATATTCATAATATGGAGATTTCTTTTCATTTTTGGTTTGCTGCATTCTAAAGTAAACTACTTTAAATGCTTTCTTCTCTTCACTAATCCTAGTTATTTCTCATTATTCCTATCTTCATTTTCATTAGAATTTATTATACTTAATCCAACAACTACAATTTCTCTTTGTTTTACAATTTAATAGCCTAAATCATCACTCAATACCTCCAAATAATCGAGTAGAATAGAAGTTCTAACTTCTTTTATAATAAGCTGTTCCATCAGTGATTATTAATGATTAGTTTTGCAGAAATAAGCATTGTCTGTATTACATTTAAAAAAAAGTGAAAAAGAAAAATCACAGCTCAGAGAAAAATATTTAAAGTGGTGGTTCTGAAACTGCGCTGTGGCCTCTTCCCAGAGGTGCCACGAAATATTGTAAAAGCTTCAAAATTAATTGATCCAAAATATTTAGCCTAACTAAACAAAAAACAAAGTGAGACACTAAAAATATCTATTCTTATTGGGCAGTTTTTTTTTTTTTTACTTTACTCTGTATAAAACTAAAGTCACTCACACAGAATTTTTTTGTGAATCAGACTTCAAAGCTGCACCTTCTCATTTTCTTTGTATTGTTGGTAAAGTTAATCTCATCATGTTGTTTGATTCAGGTTTGCGTGTACTGAAGTTTGGAGGTCATTGTTTCCCCCCCGAGTTGAAAATCCACCATTTTCTTTCCATTTGAATTTCATGCAATTTATGCATGTGACGGAAATGGCAGTCAAATCAGCAGCAAAACTAACAATTTTGTTGACAGATTTATTAGGAAAATGCTCCCAAAATTTGACAAAAACATTCATAATGATAATCTTAGCAGAGCTGCATAGTGGTTTTCAAACCTTATGAGGTTCTGAAATTGCACACATATGTCAAAGATGAAGCAGATGTCATTCTTCACTTCCTGGTCAATGAATGAATGCAGTAATTGCTTTTCTCATTGAGTGTGAGGATGAAGTCAGGGTTGCTGAAATTTGCATTTTTGGCCAATAATGCCAAAAAAAGGGGAGTCTACTATTGTTATCAGATGACTGACATGATATTAGCAAATTTTTAAATAAAATGCTGGATGAAATGTAATTTATCGTTTCACACATTTCTTTTCATTCCATTCTCTCTGCTCAACAATATTCGTATTTCATAGTGTAATTTTGATAAAATGACACCTTGAAACAGTACAACTATATTCTATGGAAGACGCATACAAATTCTATTACATCCAGTGTTCTCAAGTTAGCGTTGTCGGCTCAAATCAGTCAGTCAGTTAATAATCTAAATCTGGTGAAATTAAACTCAAAGCTTCATATAATTGAACAGTGATATAAATTAGTTCATGTAATATACTTAGTGTTATGTTACTTCTTGTTTGTTGTCTTACATAGTTACATAGTTTTGTGATTTTTTGCTTTTGTATCTATGAAAATGGACTGATTTTTTAACAGTAATAAATGTAATAGTGTATGCCTTCAACCACTGGCAGGAGTATGAAGATACAAAAACATTGTAAATATAATGACAGCTATTTAGAGTTTAGTTTCACATCAACAGAAATGAATGGTGAAGAGAAACCGGAATGTGTATTGCGTATAAAAGTACAGTGTTGAGTTGATGTAAAAGTTGATGCAGTCTTTGCTAGCACTTTATAAGGTGGTTTACAAAACAGCCAAATGTAAGAAGCTCTATATCATGACAGAAGAGCCACCCAGTTATACAGTGGTTAGGGGAGCCGACTATGATACAAGGGTGCGGGTGCGAATCCCGGAGAAGCCATGGATGTAAATTGTCTGTCCCCTCATAGGAGGTAAGAATGGCTGCCTATTAGATACCTCCATAATGATATGACCACCACTTCTGTTGATTCCACCATTACTAAAATGGCAAAGTTTAAATTAAAAGGGTGGGCTATATACATATGTACAGACGGAAAGCAAGCTATGTCGGAAAGTTAGCGTCCCGGGATAGGTGGGTGGCCAGTGGTCTGAATTCACGGTCCTTTTCTAGGACAATATAATCAAGAACTTTAAGACTCTTGAGGCGTGGGCAATTAATTGCTTTCTTAAAGAAATTACTGTTCATCCGGTGCAGAAAATTTAGGACAGGCTCGATTTTAACATCCGTGTGTAGAATTTTGTTTGAGACGTAGTAATGTGCATAAGTCATAATACGCAGCAGCTTGTTCTGCATAATTTGCAGTTTATCCAAATCCGTAGTCCTCATAGTAGCCCATGCAGGCGAGGCGTATGAGAAAATGGATCTGATGACCGAAATGTAGAGATGCCTATTTCTTCATAAGTCTAATTTTGAATCATAACTGAGTAGAGGGGTGAGACTTTGAATCACGCCAATAGTTTTCCTACGAATGTGCATAATGTGGTCCTTCCAGTTAAACTTGGTGTTGAGTACAATACCTAAATACTTTGCCTTGTTAACACGGGGAACCTCAGTGTTGAAAAGCATAAGTTTTTCAGTGCTATTAGTCCATGAGTGCTTCCTCCTTATAATCAGTAGTTGGGACTTATCCACACTGATACATATCCACCATTTGCAAAACCAGTGCTCAATTTGCAGTATAATGCTCTGCAGCTCGCGGATCGCAAAGTTGGGGTTTGCCGACTTCACTGCTAGTGCAGTGTCGTCAGCGTAGCATCCAAGAAAATAATTATAATCCAATTTGGCCCTTAGAAGATTTGCGATATAAAATAAGTACAAGACAGGACCTAAAATACTCCCTTGTGGGACACCGGCCCTATTTCTCTTAAAGTCCGAGCAGTCCTTTCCTATAGAAACGTGAAATTTACGCCCACACAAAAAGGAATGAATAATCCTGACAAGAGCAGGCGAAAAGCCGTGGTTAATAAGATTAAAAAAAAGCCCTCATGCCAGACACGGTTGAAGGCTTTTGCCATCTCCAGCATGAGTAAGGCGACAGTCTGATGATTATGTAGAGAGCTGCCAATGTATTCAGCGAGCCTAACAAGCTGCTTGGTGGTGGACAGCGAGCGACGGAAGCCAAATTGCTCAATAGGAAGCAAGCTTCTCCAGATAAGGCTCCATGCGTTTCAGAATAATCCGCTCAAGTATTTTACCAAAACCCGGGAGAAGGCTACTAGGGCGGAAACCCTCTGGCTTGGTCGTGTCCTTGCCTGGCTCTGGTAGTACTATCATTTTAGCGCTATTCCAGGACATGGGGAAATAAGCATTTGTGAGGCAAGTGTTCAAGATACCAGTGTATTTAGTTATAGTGCCTAGTGGTAAGAATTTGATCGCAACATTTGTAATGTTGTCGTACCCTGGGGCCTTATTATTTTTAAGCCTTTTAAGGACATCTTGAATTTCCTTAGGATCAGCGAGCTGTAAATCCTTCTCCTTAGAATGTGCAGCAAGCCAGTCTTTAACATAATACCTCACATGGTACGCAAGCTCTACATCGCTGGGATTGTCATTGGGTTTAAATTGTTCTACAAAGTGTTTGGCAAGCACAGATGCCTTTTCCTTATTAGGCTTCCTTATTTCCTTATTGTTAGGTTCATTAAAGGCTGCAACTTTATCATCCCGTATCTCCTTTCTGTGCACAATGATATTTTGCTTAATACTCCTGTTTAATTTATTAAGGGCCTTTTTGACATTGGGGTCCCAAGACCTTTGCTATTGTTTTCTCATTTTGTTTCTCTCCTTAATTAATTCCTTAATATACGGGGGGGGGGAAGCTTATCAGAATAATTATTAACAGGTACTGTGGTAGTGGCTCTGTTATAAGCATTATGAATAGTGGTGGAGAGTTGATAGATAGCAAAATCAATATCCTACGGGTTTTTGAGTCTAGTAACGTTGAAAGGCTGCTTGCTTAGGTAGTCAGTGAAGCATTTCCAATTTGTGATCTTCTTTTTGTCCACATTGATATCTTTCTCTTTTTTGAGCATGGCAACAACTGGTACATGATATGAGTCTAAATCACGTATGACCTCCACGTAAATGGGGATGGGAGTGTTGGCTATGAATAGATCTAAAATATCCCCTTTATTTGGCTGCTCAGGGAAGTATGTATATTCACTTGGAACATAAAAGTAAACAGGTTGATTACATATGAATTTGATAAACTTCTCACTGTTCGGGTTTGTCTTTCTACACAGCCACTCCTGATTTTTAGCGTTGAAATCACCTGCGAGAATAGATGGCTTTATGAGCCTCAGAATATTCTTTAAAATGGTATCCAGCATGTGCTGCGGCGGGTTATAGGGTGAAGTAAAATACATAAATCCATAGTAGGGTAAGAGCACAGAAACAGTAATATATTCCAGGCCTACCTTCTTTGATGAAGTGAGATATATCTCACTTCTAAGACTAACTAGTGAGACTTAGAAGTGACTAGACTTCTAAGTCACTTCTAAGAGTGAGTTAGATATCTCTCTCATCAGGCAATATGTAATAATGATGTTCTACTTTGAGCTTATTTAGAAGTTGAATTATACCTTTATAGCCTTCGGGAGTTTCAGTGAATACTTTAATGGCTCCTGGGATTTGGTTGCCATAGAATTTGAATTTATTCTGATGAGTTTTTACCTTAATTTCTACCCAACTCAATTTACCCTCTTTCAGAGTGATTGGGGAGATCCTGGATTTTTGTTTTATCAATGGCAGCCTGAGTATTATAAACATTATTAGTGTCATTATCATTTTCTGCACTTATGGTATCCATATCATGATTATCTAAATAGGTGTTATCAGTTTGTTCAGCTAGCTTTGTAACTGTGTTTACAGTTTACAATTTGATTGTTAGTTTGGTTAGGCATGATTTGCATTTGCATGGAAAATTTCATTTTCTTAACCTGATTATATTTGCTTTTAGTCCTGATAGTTCAGATTTTGTTTGACATTCTTGATGCATTTATATCTGAAAATAATTTGAAATGGCCTAAGTGGGTTGTACTGATCGAGCTCACTCCATGTCTGTCTACTATGGAAGATTACAGATTCGAAGTAAATCACATCCATTTCTACTGATTGTCATCACGCTTGTCAAACACTTCTCTGGCTAGCTAGATTACCAGATCTTTTTTCAGAAAAGCATATGTGGGTTCTGATGAATAGGTGCCTCTGACAGTTCCAGAATGTTGGTGATGCAACTCAATAATTGGAAAGAATCTGGCGTAAACATCCTGCAGGTCATTCATCAACTCTACGAGGCAATGCCAAGTTTAATAAAGGCCAATGGTAAGTAAATGCCTTTTTCACACATTTGCTATATGTAGCTTTATTTTGCATAAATCTTGAATCTCTATCTCTTGAATAAGATGTTCCAATCTTCTGATGAAATCTTAATTGTTTTCTCCTCATGCAAATATACAACATTTGCCAAATATCATCCCATTCAGATAACTTCTTGGTCTCTTAAGAGTGCTCAATTACATACAAAATTACTATACAAAAACTAACAGAGTGATACTTCTTAAACCCCTTTTCCACCATACTTTAACATAAAATTAGCAGTTGCATACAAAAGTATTCCATATAAGTTTAAATACAAGATAAAATTAAAACTGCAGATAAATATTCGATATAAATAAAATATCACTGCACTTACCTTAACTGCTTCCAATATGTTACGCTCAGCCTTTGTATGTGCAGTATCTTTCTTATTTTTTACAATGCTGGCCTAAACAAAGTGTAAGGAGGCAATATGTAGCAGGTAATAAATTATTTTAAAAAGTTGATTGTTCTAAATATAATTAGAATAAATTAATAAAGCAATAACAGGACACTTTAAGAACAAGCAGCTTTGATTAATGTTACATATTAATGTGCTACACATTAATAGTATTAATGTGTTACACATTAGCAGATATCAGAAATTAGAAACTGAATTTATATGCAAGTGCACTAAATGACATTCTGAATAATATAATTAAAAACACAACTCTTCTCCATCTACTGAGTGGAACTCAAAAGGCCAGTACCACATTGCTCAGAATTTATGACAATGTTATCAGAATTAAGAGTTACAGAACACCGTTAAATGTGCTTATAGATGCAGCAGGCTTTAGTTAGAATCCTCATTAGTATGCACACCTTGAAATATTATATGAATGCTAAAGCACTTTTATTTTACTAGCATATTAATATTATAATACAAACAATTTGAATTCACATTACTATTTTCTTCAGGTTTCTGCTCTCTTCAAAACGTTTTTTCTTCCCTCTTCTTACAGTTTAATTTCTACTGTTTCTTGAGCTATGAATACCTGGCACAATTGGCATCATATTTCAGACCTTTTATGATGTTTTCTATGCACAAAAGTTGGTTCCTCTAATTTAGCAATATCTGCATATTTATACATTATTTAGCCCTTGAAAATATTCAGAAGAATATATGCCAAGTTAGAAATGCTTATTAATTATCAAAATACATTTGCAATTGATAAAAAGACAGGAGTTGTAATTCATTTCTCAATTTTAAATAACCTATTTAACCTCTTACCAAATTAAGGATAGTTGCATTTTAAGTATTTCACTTTATTTTAAAATGTCACTATGCATCCTCCCCCCTTTTCCATTCTTTTTTTTTTTTTTTTTTAAATAATAAAGCAGCATTCTAGAACTTTTTCTATTACATTTTTTGATGTTTACACCTTAAATTATTACACTGCTTATTAATACTACCTAAATTTATTTTCAATAATGCAAGATACAACATTTTCCTATTTGTATCCATAACTGCAGTAAAACAACAGTCATAAAAAAATTAATATAGCATTTCCTTTAAAATATTTTAGTCAAAGTTAATATCTGTATATTTTTCACATCTGCTTATAAGTGATTTTGTATTATCTTGCATTAATTTACCAACATATATCTTTAATTGACACGCAAAAAACTCAAGAACAGGCATTGAATTGCATAGCACTATCTTCAGTGATGAAATCTGTTTTTACTTTAAGGCAGATGATCGTCACATATGCATCTGGCACAGATCCAGCAAGCACACATATTTGCAGCTTACTATTTAGTGACACATTACTATTAACTCCCAGCATAATGATGTAGAGAGCTGTCATATATGCCAGCTGAACCATTTAGTTATAAGAAGTAATCTAACAATACAGAGATGCACCTAACAGACCTTACTTCCCATCACATGTCTAAGAAGATATTTTTCTAAAGACAATGCTTAGTGATATATACCACATGTCTACTGTTTTGTCAAAATCCCCTGATAATTCCCTAATTAAACATGTCAAAGATATGTTAGACCATAAAGTGCACCATCCACAGAATATCAGCAATATAGAATAACTGCAGAATGCCAGACAAATTTTTAAGTTGCTTTGAGAACGTGTAATAATTATATGTTTGAACATATCGTCATCAGAGGGGACTTCATGCTTTGACAATAACATTTGTGATGCAATTATACATAAGCATTTTGTATTGTAACCATACACTTATCTTCTCAACTATATCATAAATGCAAAATTTCATTTAGGCTGGATAATGGTTTTGGGGAGAGGGGTTCACTTCTCCCCAGAGTGTATTGATTCATGCATACGTATGAAATGTAAACTTAAAATGAATCATAACCATTCTAAATTCCCCAAATTGGACTCTTTTGAATCTCTCTTGAAATAGAAACAATACCTAGTGTTGATATGTGATAAATAACAATAAAACTTTAACTATTAAATAAGATTTGAACTTGCTTAAAATCTGCATTTCATTTTTGAAAGTAAAAGATAAAAATAAAAAATTACCAAAATATTATTAAAAGTAGATTATAAATTAAATTTATAACAAAAAGTGAAATCTATGTGATTACATATGATTGCAATTTATGTCATTACAGAATTTATCACTAACCTACAAAAGATTCAAAAAGTTATAAGCCACAAGAGGTTAAAAAACTTTCAGCTGAACTAAAGCTTATGAAAGCTGATTAATTACTGAATGCCCTCTCAAGTTTTTCAAACATCAAAAGAAGCAATGATTTTTGGTGACATAAGTCCAAAAAGAAAACAGAATTCTCTAGCTAACTAGTCAGAAATTTCAGCATGTCATATTTGTCATAAAGCCATATGCTCTATCTTGAAGCCAATGGATACTATCTATTTCAAAGTTTCTCAAATATTTGTACATTTTCAAAATATCAATGTCATGTTACGACCCTATCTCAGAAAAAATTACTGAATGTTGCCAGCAGATATACACTATACAGCAACTGTCAGGAGGGCTACTACTTTCCATTCCTGCCCTATACTTGATCTGCAAAATGTAGATTATGTATAGGATTTGTTTTTTTATCAGGTACTTTTCCATTATGCACCAGCCACATTTTTCGACACCTATGAAAAAGACGTGATACACATTGAGACCCAGCCACAGCACCATGTGGGAACTATGAGTATATGTGTGTGAACAGTACTGCCAAAACGCTGGCAGGTGCATAACCAAAACGTGCCCTTTATCGAGAAAATGTGTCAGTTAACTCTTTATGCCACCTTCTCAAATGCTACAAATGTTCCTTGCTATCTTAGGTTCTGAATTTCCTGATTTAAGTTCCATAAACTGCATGCTTGTGATTTGATTGGATAACTCCATTTAACTTAATTTAGCTCTCAGCATTAAAATATGACATCTACTGATGCTAGAGTATCAACTATGGTCCTAGATATGAATAAATGTGATTATACAGACTCATTCCAAAATAGTAGTACCTTTGAACAATCATATGAACTGCTACAGTGTATTGTTAAAAGGAACAAATAACTAGGATATGAAAGATATTATTTCTTTTCACTAGAATTATTCTATCTTTTTTATAAAGCTCTTGACAAATATAAATTTTACTAAATATAAATATTAACATTCACAGAAGTCCAGACAGGAAATGAGAATAAGTTACATACTTATATTCGTATATGATATATATGTATTATCATTACTTCGATCAAATAAAGAAATATACTTAGACTTTCCTTCCCACTTTCTCAGTATATTTATATAAAATGCTTTTTTAAATTGCAACATCAATTTAAAAAAGATCACAAAAAATATTGTAAATAAAATTAATTACATACGATAAATATACCATGAATGTATTAATTTGAATTTAAAGAATCTTTTAAATGATGAAGAATTTACTTTGCGCAGAACTTTCATAGCAAATATTTTTCCAGCATCTTTTCCAGTTATTTTTCGAACTTGAAAAACCTAAAATTAAACAAAGCATGAACTAAAATACACATATGAAACAGCATACACATACATCTTTCTATCTATACAGAATTATGAAGAAAACATGAACAGTTTTAAATTGAATATGTGCAGTAAAAATTTAAAAGCCCAAGCAGCATGATTTATATATGTAAAGAAGAATGTCTGTTGATGTGTTTGCTTGTTCGCGATACTCAGTCACTACGATAGTTATCATCATCAAACTTTCTAGAATTTTTTTTGGGGGGTCCTGGGAAAGGTCGATGTCCACTTTCTTTTAAAAAATTCAATATACATATATTTTATGCAAATTTAATGAACTTCTGATTAAAAACTCAGCATCTGAAAGCTTTGCATTGCCACTCTGCAAAAGTGTAAGGTATATGTGTTTCAAATTTATTCAGAATACATAGTGATGTGTTGCCACTCAGGAAAACACAATTATATTAATATGTCTTGATTTTCATAAAAAACTTGTCTATTTAAAAGAAATGTGTTACACTGCCCAAATTAAAATATTTCAAAGTGTGTTATCATTCAGCAAAGCATGAAATATTTAATTTTTCATGCAATAACACGCATCAACATGTGTGTTATTGCATCACATGCATTTTCTTTGCTTTTGAAAATGAATTTGTAAAAATCAGCACAAATTACTCTTTCTGTGAAATCATTGAAGCACCAGGAACACTGTGACGTGGGAAGAAAAATTGTCCGCACCAGATGGGGAAAAAAATACTGTGTATCCAAAAGCATTTCAATAAACAGAATTAAAACACAAATACTTTCTTTCCTTTAAATAGCAATACAATGCATGTCTGATAACAGCTAGTATAACAAAAGAGAAAGTTATTGCACATATTAAGTCTAATCAAAAGCCAGAAATACCTAAGGTAAATAAATGGATGTCAGTTTATAAAGAAAATAGAATTATTGACTTTTGAGGGAAGACTGCAACTTTTACATAAAAGAATCTACAGCACATTTTTCAAAAAAAAATTCTTTTATTTGTAATGATCATCATAAAAATTACATGAAAACAAAAAATTACATCTATTATGATATGCTTTAGAATTTCACCAGAAATGTATAATTAAATCTATAAAATAAATTCAAACTAATTACTTTTCCATAGCCACCTTTCCCTAAAACTTTGAGAAGTTCAAAATCTTTAGGTCCTGTTTTACCAGATCCTACATCTAATTCAATGTCTGATATGGGAACATTTTCAATATCATCAGAGCTATTAAAAAAAGTAAGTACAATTTCAAATTCTGTAATAATATGTACAGGATGCATGTTAAACTAAAAACAAATAAAATTATTCACGATTTCCAAAGAACACTTTAATCACAACAACAACAACAACAACAAAAAAAAAAAAAAAAAAAAACTACATAACTATATTTACTTTTTCCATAATAATAATAATAATAATAAAAAAACTGCGTTTAAAGTTCAGCTATGATCAATCTATTCACACAAATAACCCCCCCTCCCAAAAACAAAAACATTTATTTTATTTTGAAACTGCGAAGAAATATCCCAGTTTAGCTTGTGCTATCTGACTGCACATGGAGATCTACCTTAGTCAGTACGGTAAAAAGTGACATACCACAATGCAGTTAGGGAAAAAATTGCTTCAGTTGCACAATTAATAGTTTATTAATTACATAAAAGGTATTTAAGCCATAAAAATCAGCAACTATAATTAAATGTTTTCTAACAATAAACAAAGCACAAATGAAGAATTGTTACTTCCTAAGATATAATGTGGTATATTTTAGACACAGCAACAATTCACTGCTAGCTACTACTTATTCCCATTTTATTAAACGCCAAAACATTTAAAAACAGTATTTTTTAAATTTAATTTGACACAGGTTTTGAATAACAGTACTGATTTCAGGACCAATAAGACACAGATTCCTCTTCTCCACAAACAAATTTTTGCAAACATTGTCAGAATAGAAACTATTTCATATAGAAATAATGATAATAACCCTATCATCATTCCACTTCATTCTTCTGTCAGTAACAAAATTGCTCGAATTTTCCAAAAGTTTCATCTTTCACACCATTTTCTCAACTATCATTAACTGCTAGACTCCTAAAGCTTCCATTTTTAATTTTAATTCTTAGGGAATTTATAGTATATTTTTTACATGTGGTTTAACATGGAAGCATTAAAATTTCACATCTAGGAACATGAATCTTATATTTGGAAAAAAATAAATAAATAAATAAACAAATCCTTCATATCTAATCAACAACTTGACTTCGCTTTTGCAAAAGTTATTCATAGAGCTTCTTCAGTTGATGAACTTTATTTCATACATACATAAAAATTTATCATAAATAGTTAATGACATTAATTCCAGCCCAACTATTTCTAATGGTTTCAGAATTCTAGCATCTCAGTTATTTAGAATTAATTGTTATTTACTTAAAACTACTGCAAAAAGTGTCAAGTAAATAACGAAATTTCCTTCTACACAACAAGCAATATATCCATTCTTCAAACAAAGATACAGAAAACTATTCTAAATGATACATTAAATTCTGGGGAAATTCATGGAAAGGGAAGAAAATAATAATAATGAAAACTGCTGCAAATAAACAAAAACTTCCCTCTCTGTTGCACATTAATGAAATATATTACTGTTTCCAAAATGCCACTGGCATACAATTTCCAAAAAAACTGATAAGGTATAAAACATTCTTCAAGAGTGTGAATGAAATTGTAATATTTAAACAAAAATTTACAGAGAATTGCCTAATATTTTCAATCATATTTGCTTTTTAAATACAGACAAAGTCTCTTTTCATAATTTGCAAAAATTTCTAATGTTAAGGAGAAAGAACTACTAATACTAGAATTGTAAACAATGGAAATATAATGACTGTTATCAGGTATATGACGTAAAGAAACTGAGTAAAATTACTAAAGTTAAAATTTTCTGCTTCTGAGCTGTGTAACCAGACAGTCTAGCAGTCTTTCAGTTATTATTAGAGCAGACAAAAGTATAAAAATCAACCCAATTTAAATTTTTATTCCATATATCGACAACTGCATGCATCCCATAGTTTTTGGTACTATCCCAAAAAATTGCAAATTATGAAAAGTGACACCTCTGGTTTTATCAGAGATAGTTACAGGGAAAAAAAACAAATACTTGCAAAAAAAAATCAATACTTCCTGATCATCAGTTTCAACACTATATTAATTTTCATACAGATGCAGTGTTTTTGAAGCTGATGGCAAAAAGTTATACCTTATTTAAACATTTTATAATAGAAACCATTATGAAAAATGCCTTGGTGGTTTAGCTGTTGAATTCACTAAATCAAATGGCATGTTTGTTGAATGTATATAATTTATTAAACATAGTTATATCAATTTATGCAGTTGATATTTGAAAGTACATTTATAAATAAATTAATAAATATTAATTTTATGAAAACTAAACTGAAAGACCATAAATAACTTGAATACCATCCACTGGTCATAAAAGTGTAAAACTGAACATATAGTACCTCCCCACATAAAATGTCTTGTTTCTCATAAATGTTTGCTTGTATTACTATTATTGTTATGGATTTTGTATGTATGTAAATAAATTTAATGAAATTATATATGAAATTCCAGTATACTTTGTATAATGTAACATGAAAAGTCTGAAGAGAGTGAAGCTCTGTCGGAAAATAAGATAATAAGAACAAATATATTTAACATTGAGTTAAATGGCTATTTCAGTAAACTCGTCAGATATCGCCAAGCTGGTTTTGGTAACTAATTTTTGTCCCCAAATTTGACAAGAGATCACCAAAAGTCACCAAACTTGGTGACCATTTTGATCCAATCCCTGCATAACTGTAACTGATACTGTAATCGATCCCTATATGTAACTGTAACCATATCCAGCCCTTATATGTAGCTTTTAACTGTATTTGCCTTCCAGTAATTTTGAAGAATTGAAGAAACTACAAATTTCTCAATAGTTGGGGGAAAACTATATACGGTCTTAGAGAGGATCAGTTTTCATTTTTTTCAGTGCAGTGCAGTGTTAGATCTGGAGTACTGACAGTTTGTGAGAGATGTCCGTGCCTGCTTCACTCAGCTTCCGTGTCAGCTAAACATGGTTGAAAATAAGGTTGGAGAAGCTACAGAAACTGTTATTACAATCAAGTAACAAACCAAAGAAAGAGTTCCTGTTGTCCAACAACAAATCAAAGAGAGAGTCTCTATTGTCGAAAAACAAACTGATGACACAGTTTCTGCTGGTGTAGCCACGGAAATTGTCAGCTTAAAGAAATCCACTGCGACAGTATGAACACAATACTGATGCATTTCAATTCCTAACCATCCCTTCTTATCGCTCTTTAAAACTATCCACATATGATGGAAAGACCTCCGGCAAGTGTTAAAGACTCAGTTTTCTAGAGTGGCAAATACACGGGATGACCAAGCTAAGGGTTGCCACCTCTTCACTCCTCCGAGAGCAGACACATTGGATATCCTTCAAAATCTGCCCCAAAACCAAAGGCTAGACTTTGAAGCTCTCTCCGGCACGCTGGAGCTGCACTTTGATGAGAAATATTTAAAAGACTACTGCAGGTTTCAGTTAAAATCTCACCAACAGAAGCCCATAGAAACACTTCAGAAGTTCACCATGGATAACAAACTGATGTCTCATAAAAGGCTCCCTCATCTCATCTTTTCGAGCTGACTGACAGAAACAAGGGAAATACTATCCTGCAGTACTTCATAGATGACATCCTGGATTTTGAGATATAGAAAGCCCAGCGAATGTCAGATGTCAAGGATCGAAAAAGTGCTTTAGTGTACACCATGAAATTTGAGGTAGTTCACCAAACAACTAGAGATGGCCACCCATTCAGGGCTGCTCAAGTCCAAGAGCCAGTGGATCAAGTGACTGCTCATCTAGACAATTTAACCAAGCAAGTCAATGCCTTGATATAGCACAGGAGTAGCAACAAACTGACTCCAAAGTGTTGTAAATGTAGTGCTGAAGGGCACATACGAAGGAAATGTAAAACACCCCAGGGCACGGAAAATAAGACCACTCCCCAGCATACATGCAGGAATCAAATTAGTGGCCATCTCATGGAGTGGAGGTTGCCATATCTGGAGAAACCTCATTTCAAAGCATTTCAGACTTCTGCAATGAGTGGTGGCAGTAATGGACTTTTCCTCATGGGACATATTAATGGAGTTCCTTGCAATATGACCATTGATACAAAAACCAATGTTACCATCATTCGAAAAGATTTAGTTCAAAAGTTGGGAGGTAAACTCATCTTGATGCCGCCTTGCACTACACTCCAGACTGTGTCCACAGAAAAGATTGATATCGACAGAAAATTAAACATTATCATCACATTTGGAAGTGCCACCTACCATCGCACGACATATGTCGCAGATATTACAGATCCTTGCATACTTGGATTAGACTTTCAAAGGATATACAATTTTTTCTTAGACTTTAAAAATAACTAATTAGATTCTGTCTCTGAGGACGTAACCCTGCTCTGAACTAATGATGAAGCAGTTAAATCTGTGGACCAAACCATAGCTCACGACAATATCATAGTACCAGCAAGAATAGATTTTTACTTCCTGGAAGACCCATAGCCCTCCCCCCAAAAAAATCCAGTATGGTGTAATGGAATATCCCAAAAAGCGTAACAGCATACGAGGAGTATTAGTAGGCTCAGCACTCATCCAGTTATCCCAGTGAAAGTTACCAACATCAGTGATAAAGCAAGAATCATTAACAATTAAATGGTTGCAGGATAAGACCCAATAGACCACCAATCTCTATGTCTTTGGACACCCAATATTGGAGTTATTGCAGAATGCACAAACAAGCAATGAAGGAAAGCTGTCGAGTGTATCATTCAAGAATTTCAAGATGCTTTATAGCACTTGTTTTCTGATATAGGTCAAACCAGTCTGACACAGCACAGAATTGATACCAGGGAACATCCACCAATCAAGCAATATCCAAGACATCTACCAATTGCTAAACAGGAAGAGGTAAGAATATTTCTAAAGAACATAAAAGAAAGTGACATCATCAAGCCTCCAGCAAGTCCTTGGGCTTCCCTCTCCAATCATCCTGGTCAGAAAGAAATACGATTCAACAGGATTTTGCATTGACTGAATGTTATGTCGAAAGACAAGCTACCCTCTTTTTAGAACTGACGATATTCTGGATGTGTGATGATATTTTGACTGTGAAAGTGATGCCAATCATGCAATGCCTGTGCCGGCAGGAAAGGGCGGGCTGTAGAAATGCACCTGAAGGAAGCTCCAATGTTACAATGTAGAAGTGTCTTCCTTGGACATCTGGCACGATCTGCTAATCGCAACAAATACATCCTTGTATTTGTTGCTTGTATGTTGTCATTGATTACTTCACAAAATTGATTACTTCACAAAAAGCAAATCCTATCCTCAATCAAAAAAAAGCTGTCATGGTAGCAGAGGTAAAGATACAACATTTACAGGTTTGGAGTGCCTCCTCAGTTATATTCTGATTAAAGAAGGAATTTTAACTTAGCTGTAATTGAAGAACTCTGTAAACTACTCGGCATAAACAAAACCCAAACGACGCTTTTACATCTACTGTCACATGGCATGGCAAAGAGGTTTAATTGAACCATCTTTAAGAAGCCCTCGCTGACGGTTTCAAAAAACCAACAGGACTGGCACCAGAAGTTGCCTCTGTCCTTACTGGCCTACCACAACGCTGTCCATAAGATTACCAGCTATTCCCTATTTCAGGTGCTCTTCAGTCATGACCTGCATCTGCCTTGTGATTTGTTATTTAGTCACCCTCCAGATGCACCTTAATCATCCGAGAGGTATAATCATGATCTCCAGGCATGGTTTGAAGTGATGCACAGTTTTGTTCAAGAGCAAGTTAACTTGGTGATGGAGAAGACGAAAACCTGATACCAACACAAAGACATCGATTCAATGAAAGTGACAAGGTGTGGTTATGGAATTTGATTTGATGAAAAGGATTTTCTCCTACACTACTGTTAACTTGGGACTGTTCTTACACAATCCTAAACAGCTGAATGATGTACTTCAAATCAGTAATTCATCAAATTCTAAGCCTAAAATCCTTCATTACGAAAGACTAACCTATTACTATGGCCATAGTAAGCAGTCCTCATGGTGTATGTAATGTAAACAGTACACTTAAGATCAAGGTTCTATATGAATATAAATTTATGCATTTAGTATTTGATTTGTTTGTTATTTATTGAAATTATTGTTTTAGTATCATACTGATTTTCTTTAGTTGTAAGGATGGCTTCTTATCTAAGGACTTTACTGGTCTGGTTTCTGCAGTCTTTGGGAAGGCCACAATGTTACAAATTTTGTATATATGTAAATGATGTTAGTGAAATCATACACGAAATTGTAATACCTTTTGTATACAGGGTTCATAGCCACATTTTAGTTAAAAAAATAAACACTTATAAGCACTTTTCAAGCACATTTTAAGAAAAAAAAAATAAGCATGTGTCTAATTACATCATACACAACGGCATAACCTTAAAAGAAAAATTAGACTTGCAATTTAAAATATGAGCAATGCAATATTTATTAAGAGAATGAGCATTACCTCAAGCATGGAAAACAATTAATTTTTTTTTAAATTTTAAATGACAGTTCAATTTACAGAATTAGTTTAGAATGAGAGAAAAAAACTATGCAGAACTAAACTATATTACAAGATTTAATGATGAAATTTCAGTTCAAAATATAGAAAATAAATAATAATAAGCCGTATTAATTGTATTCGCTTGGCACCTAATAATAAAATACAATTATTTTTCCACTCATATTAATATTTAAATAATTTAAATCAAAATTCTGAAACATTTTCTAAATTTTCATTGCATAACAGTTTTCCCTTAACATATATTCCAAGCAAAGTAATTTAAGTAAAAAAGAGGAACATTTCTGAAATCAGGAGACGGAAAATTGCTTCATGCAATCATCCTTTAACAGTAAAAGCTTAACTAACCCGCATACTTGGAAATTGCCAAATATTCCGTACAGTTGAGCGTAACTGGAAAAAGAGGATAGGGGGAGTTTTTAGCCGTTCTTTAGATTTCTGGGTTAAATAAATGATTTTGACATTTCGATATGTGGCATCATATAAAAATAGACCAACGGAACTGAGAAATATTCTGCTTAGAAAGCACAGTCAAACTCTTTTAAGTGTTCATAAATAAATCTCAGACTGAACATCAAAATTAATTATCTCTGCAAAATATCACAAACGTTATCGCGCAATACGCAAACGTTATTGCGCAATACGTGTATTCTTCCATACGTGATATTACGCAATCAGAATCAACAGCTGCCGGTTACGGAGAATAAAGAACTAAATAAAGGAAAAGAAAGAGACTAATCTGGGGTGTTTTTGATTCTAATTTTGAAGACTGCGTTAAATTTCCTATTCAATCCAGATCGGACAGTGACAAAAAAAAAAGTCCGCTGCTTCAATATTAGAGATTTTGTGGAGAAAGGGGAGAACTTACCAACCTTCGTACTGTATAAATACTGGCAAAAAAAAAAAAAAAAAAAAAAATTACTTTGACTATTCGATTACTTTCCTTTTATTTAAGCCATTCCAACACATTCCTTAGTAAGCTAATCTGTGTAAAAATGCACACATTTTTGGAAGTTTATCTACACTTCAGCAGCTCCTGCAACTATATTATTATAAATATTCATACATATGCTCATAATATAAGCATAACGATCATTAATAAACACGAATATGAACTGACCACGCGGAACGAGAATGCAAATTATTAAAATCTTGATAGAAATTCAAACGTGTGTAGTATTTGGGTGGGAGGAAAAGAATATCGAATGTACCGGAATTTTTTACGGTTTTCGCAATTCTTTGACCAGTAGAACGATGTGCACCTGTCTGTACTCTCGCGTGCACCATAGGTTATGTTAATGCACAGAAAGGGGGAAAAGCTTATTTCCGGGAGTATGATTCACCATCTGACGTTTCATATAAGGAAGAAAAGTTGTTTTAGGCTTTGGTACGGGGGAAAATGCGCATTCATTAAAAAAAGCACTAAAAGCAAAAAATAAGCACTAAAAACAAAAAAATAAGGGCTTTAAAGAAAAAGTAAGCACCTATAAGGGCCTTTATATTTTATTTTCAAATATAAGGACTTATAAGCACTTGTAAGGACCGCTACGAACCCTGGTATAATAGAACATGAAATTTCTGAATTCAGCGAATCTCTGCCATAAAGTACGATTACATGTGACAAGTCGATTTAAGAATGAGGTAAATAGTTATCTCTCTAAATTAGCAAGATATCACCAAGCTAGTAATGGATTTTGTAACATAGTTTTCCATCAAATTTGGTGAGAAATCATCAAACATCACCCAACTTGGCAACATTTTGGTCCAGTCTCTGTTTAAAACTACATGATACTCTTTATGAGTACCTGTAATTGATTCTTATATGTAACTAACCATATATGCTTTCCAACAATTTTTAGAAACTGAAGGTATTAGAGATCTCTCGGTGGCTGGGGTAAAACTATAGAATTCTGGAGAGAGCATCACTTCTGTTTTCTAATTCAGTGTTAAGATCAGAGAAGTGGGAGATGTCTGCACTAGCTTCGCTCTTTAGCTACAGTTTGCAATGCATTGTATTTAAAGTTCTTAGTAGTTTGAAGTGATAACTACTGATAGTGCTCGGAGAGTTGTATGAGTACTCAGAAGAGTTGTATTAGTACTTTTGTGGAAAGTTCCAGGACTGAAAAGTGTTTCTTTTGGGAAAATAAATTTTCTCAAGCTTTGAACAGTTCTATATGCATTCAGTTCATTAGGAATCTGTATGCATACAACATTATTATTTATATGCAGAGCTAACTGTACCTGAAAAGCAGTAGAGATAATCAAAACAAATGTTTTTTGCTAATGAAATGACCTTTAGTGAGGGTGTGAATTATTCAAAAGTATTACAAACATGGTTTTTACTAATTAGTTGACAACTTTTTGTAGGAAAACGGATTATCAGAAAGTACCAAAAATTTTTTTATTGTAACACAACACAATATTTACATACACAAATACAAAAATAATTATAAAAATAGTTAAAAGCTTTTTTCACAAAATGCAAGTAAACTGTCTTTCGCATAATATGTATAAATAACAAAGAGCAGTAAAATAATACAGATTAAGAAATTACCAAATGATAAAATTCCATAACATAGACATTCAAATGTAAACACAGGAATAAAATTTGTCACTTACCCTAAAACTGTATGTATTTCAACATCTTCATTTATTTTCTACAGGGAGGGAAAAAGAACAAATTTTAGTATAAAGATGAATTAATGTTTTAGGATATGCATTTCTTAATCTTATATTATTCACTATTTTAGAGCCACACACGACCCATCAACTTAGAATAACATCCTGGGTTTGCCTTTCCATGCATTTCTCTATTGTACTATGGCCCTATTATATTGACAGGACGTAACTATGCTGATGATGCAGTGCAGCCCCATCTTCATTTATAGCCACAGGGTACCCCAAATACTATTTTAAACATAACAAGTGGCGGTACAACTCTGATATACGCCGTAATTTCACCAAATGTGGCGATATGTGTTCTGCGCTGGTTTTTGGCGCGATTGCGTGTTGTATGACAACCTGTTTTGGTACAACTCTGATATACGCACTAATTTCACCAAATGTGGCGATATGTGTTCTGCGCTGGTTTTTAGTGCGATTGTGTGTTATATGGCAACCCTGTTGACACTGAAAAATCTTTCGCTGGAGCTCGTCGGTTCTCAAAGATAGGGGGGAAAGATAAAATGGTGGAAGTTGGTAAACTGAATTTCGGCAAAAGGAAATATCATTGTGGCCATCCTATTGAGGGGCAGTGGGTATTTGGAGGTGTGGAAAGAGGATCTGGGAGAATATTTTTAGTGGCTGTTGTGCATCACAGAAGTTTTTTTTAATTGTTTGAAATTTATTTTAGTTATTTAAGTTTATTTTGTTGATTAGTGCGTAATGTCTAGATTATGCAATTCGTAGATGTTTTTTAAAGTTGAAACAGAACGCTATGAACATGGTATTCTTTGATATTTATTGTTGTTATGTTAATTTATTAGAGCAAGGTGTGCGTAGCTGGTAGATTCGTTTGTGTCTAGATTGTTCGATTCATAGTCATTTTTTAAGTTTAAACAGGATGCTGTGCACACGGTCTTCTTGAATTTTGTGTTATGCTAATTTATTAAAGCGAGTGTGAGGTAGTTGTGGTTTAGGTTTTTCGTTGCCTAGACGGTGCCATCGTAGATTTTTTTTAAGTTAAAACTTATCGCTGTTGTACATGGATTCTTGTCAAATATTTTTGGTTAGAATCTTTACGTTTTTGCTATCTAAATTTTTTGTTTTTCTTTCAGATTTTTAGCTTAAATTGTGTGTTGAAATTGTGGTTTTTGCATGAGCGAAATCCATGTTTTTGGAGACATTTTTAGCCTAAATTGCGTATTCAAAACATGTTTTTTGCATTTGCGAAAACCGCGTTTTTGGAGATATTTTAGGTTAAAAGTTCAAAAGGTAGAAAAAAAAATTAGATAGTAATATGGCAGCTTAGAGTTTCTCGCCAAAAATTTTTGGTGACTTGAGGGCGCATATCAGAATAGTTCCCAAGTGGCTACAAAGAGCACAGCTCCCCCCGAATCCATCATAAGATATGCAAGGGTTTCCATGGCCAGCCCAACCTCCTGGCAGCTCAGCATTAGCAAAACAACTGAGTATTGCATTACTTGAATTTCTTCTACGAAATGAAGATGAACTAAAGGCTGACATCAATAATGCATGATGCACAATTCCACATGGATATGATTTGAAACTAAGGGATATGTTGCAATAACATGTTAAAAAATGTATTGCTCTAAATGTGATCAGAATATCTTGTTGATGCATTGGATATCTAGGAGCTTTATTGTTGCAGATCTTTGAAAATTACATCTGTCAATGACTTTGTTATTATCTATTTATGTACAAATTATCATTTTTTCATAAGGTTGCCTTTTTTCTGTCCGGCAATAAATAAAAAATAAAAATAGAAATAAATCATTTTTAATTAATTTACTCTCTTTTAATTAACTCTTCTAGAAGTGCCAAATTTCCAATCATTTTAACTCTGCTTTACAAAAATGTTGCATACATTTTCATAACAGTCAACATTTAGAAAGAACTTTTGGAATTGATTTGGAAAACAGCACTTTGTGATTAACAAGCCACCAGTTGTAACTGTATACCATAACACCAAATGCGGTAACCTGACATCAGTGTGACATGCAGGAAGAATACACATTAATCCAATATTTTTTCAATTTTTTTTTTTTTTTTTGGCTAAAATGATTTGACACAGAATCCATACACATTACACAATTTAGCAACTGCCAAATGACAAAGAATCATGATTAAATTCTTGCAAGATATGAGTATCATCCTTATACAAAGAGAAAAAGTCACAAATTGAAGTTTCATTTTACAACTACTATAGTACTGAAAATGGAACAGATCGTATGATTAAAAGGTAAGTTTACAGCAAGGATTTTCATTACAAAGTCTGACAATCCTTTTCTGTTTACTTTTTAGTTTATTTCCTTTCTGGTATCAAGGGTTTAATAGAATTGTCAATTACAACTGGGAATGAATCACTGTAAATCTATCAACTGAAATAATTACATACAGGATTGGCATTTTGTCATGTGGTGGGAAAAGTAAGGAGGAAGCAAAAAAAGTTAAGAATACATTATCTGCCCCTTCATGATTTTCTTTTATATAATTGAATTTGTGGTTCATAAAAATGCATCAATATGTATTCTTACTGCATGAACAAGTATGCTAATCAAAAAATAATTTTTGATATGACCAGCAACCTGGGGATAACTTGCTTTGTATCCCCCCTTAATCTCAAAACACAGTTTAGTGTTTGCAAAGGATGAAGTAAACTGCTACTTTTCTATTTTTCTCTTGTCTTTTGAGTAAATAATTAATATTTGAGACCAGCCATCTACAGAATAATTAGTAGTAAAGTATTTTCAGTTACTGGATTGGTTATATTGGTAAGCATAATCAGTACATTGAGAGACTGAGATTTGAAAAAAAAAAAAAAAAATTGAATCTCTAAAAACAGCGGATTTCAATTGGAACCAGAATCAGAATAGAGAACCATTTAAAGAATATCCATTTTTCGAATGGCTGGATGCATCAAATACATCTCTTAAAGATTTATCAGGTCGAATAACTGGCTGTTGAAGCATATAATAAACACTTCTTGTTTCTTCAAAACCTTGATTTATTTCCTCAGCTATACACATTTCTAAATGTTGTTCTATTAACTGACTGACAAAGTATTGGATCATTTCTCAACCTTTTAAAAAGTTTGTTAAGGTAAGCTTCTGCATTTACATAATTCATTTTTAATTAAGACGAATTTCGATTCCAAGGGAATTTATATTCATATAACTTTTCTTTAAATTTGATAGCTCTGTTAAAATTCTCTAAAATGTCATTACCTATTTTACTGCTTTACTTCCCTTTTTCAATTTGCAAAACTGCTTTAACTGTCTTGAGATCAATTTATTGTTCACAATAATGTCCATGTTTAACAATTCACTGTTACAATCAGTCTGACCTTGAAGGCACCATTCAAGCATTGTTTCAGGTTGTTTTATTTTTAAAACATTGTTTTATATTTAAACATTACTGTTTTTCTTGTTTTATTTTTAAAACATTTAAGTCTACCTGTTATCACTTCATGACAGTAATCTGCTCCGATCAGAACAGCAGTGTTTTTGTCACAGTATTCACAAGAATCAGCTAACTGTAATCCTATTAATTCTTTGTTAATTTTGGAAAATGGGATATCAGGAAAAGGTAAATTAGTTGTGCATATTTTATTAGTTTCCAAAACTTCAATTTCCATATTTAGGGGTGGTTCCTTTCTGTTTTCGATTTTGACTTTTACAACATTGTAAGTTTATTCTGTTCCCTGGTTAATTTCAAAGGCAAATACGGACAACGCCTCCTTTCGAATAACAGGTAATTTACACTTTTCTGAAACGTCCCAAATTATAAAACTTCTCATCGATCCATTTTTTAATAGAATACGAACTGGTTCTAAACTATCCTCATCAGAGGATGGACGTATCATCACAGTGCATGTTTGTGGCAATGCACTACGGAAAGTTTCAGTTTTTAATTGACTAATCTGAACATCTTCCTTACTGGATAGAATTGCCCACAGGAGCTTGTTTTTTTTTTTTCTGATTTGGTTTCGAGTTGGAAACAAATAGATCTATTACGTTTTTTATTATATATTTCACACATTTTTCTTTTTTTTACATTCTTTAATTCTATGATGAGGTTTAAGGCATAAAAAACGAGCTTGACATTTCCAAATATTTCTTTTCTCATCCCCGGTTTTAATTTCACAACGCTCAGAATTGTGTAGTTCGTTACAATATATACAATTACTCCTTGCGACTGGAGCAATACATTCATAAGTTTTAGGGGAACTTTTATCAAACTGTTTATTGCGCTTGTTGCTCACATTTTCGTGAGCGGAGTGGAGACAATCCTTTGATTTATGCCTCCAGTTATGAATCATTTCCGCTGAATGTTCTGTTTTTCTTTCTCTACTGTCTGCGTAGCTCTTTCGGCACTTTTGATTTCTTTACGAATAAATTCCATTAATTCATTAACGTTTCATGTTTGGTCACTGTTTCTACTGTGATCATATTCTAATGTAACCTCTGATGGAATTAATTTTAACAATACTGGGCAAAGTAAACTTCCGTAAGTTTCTGATACCATGTTTATTGACTTTAAGCATCTAATTTCAGTTTCACACTGATCATATAGATTCCTGAGATCTTTATATCCCTTATATTTCTAACAGAGGAAGGATGTAAGAGTTTATTTATGTGAGCATTTATTACCAAATCTTTTCTTCCAAACCTGTTAGTTAACAATTCTACAGCTGAATCGTAATTCTCATTTGTAAGCGAAAGTCTGGAAATGGCATTATAAGCTACCCTACCTAGTATTGAATAAATTCAATTACTACCTAGTAAGTAATTAAATTTATTCAATGAACAAAACGTTATTCAATATAAAGTTATAAGCATCGTTTATTCACACTGCAAGACCATACATTCATGCACATTCTTCCTTATTTAATTTCTTTAAATATAATGCAGAGCTTTAATATTTGGTGGCAAAAATTTGAAAAGTGATTCAACTTTTATAGTAAACCAATGTAAAACGTCGAAATGAAATTAAGGCTCATCTTTACTATACGGTACCCCTCGGTTTCTGTCTGAAAAAAATCACTACGTGGTACTGGTTGATAGTGAAATCCGGAAGCCCGCTGCATGAAACAGTTTTTTCAATAACCCTAATGTTGATAATGTTGGCAATACTAGCCTTGAGGAAAATTGTGTTTTAGTTTTTGCCATTAAAAAGGGGTTATTTCTGCGAATATCGCCAAATGTGTTGTGACAAATTTAGATTTTGGTTATTTTTTGTAATAGTAACCCTTTCGTATGGACCCAGGTTTAGTTTTAGTTGCTGCGTTTGCTTAAACGTACGTGGTATGGTCTTGGATATTGAACTTGCTATTATTTTGCTGTGGGCACCATCATTTAAGTATGTCTGAGGTGGGTAAGAGGATGAATGTTGATTAACAACGGATGAGCCGAAGTGACCAAAAAATTTTTTGTAATTATTTAACTGAACAAAAATTTAACTGAACTGCTTACGTGGAGGATGGAGGAGATGGTGGTGGGAAAGGTGAACGTATGCAGGCAAAAAAAAAGTATGTTACAAAATTGACGTTTCATTTATTTATTTGTCTCTGCGTGTTAATTTTTGTTAAAAGATTTTTTGTCTAATGTTTTATGTTAGGAAATATGTATTTTTGGTTATATATTACTCTTTGTTTGTGTGTTAAAACATCGGCGAATTTTTTCTGGCTAACATGATAGTTTTAACTTTATTTTAGCTTCCTGATTTTGTTTAAGTGAAAACTGATCGATGTGTACATGGACAAAGTAAGAGTACAATGCCTAGTTTGTGGAATTATCTTTTTCCCCCCCCCTAAATTAAAATATGTTAATGTGTACATGGACACCGAGTTTGTGCAAGTCTTTGACTTCTCATTTTGGTTTGTGCGGTGGGGGGGGGGGAAGATCGGCACAATCTTGAAATTCGTACCGATCCTTCCTGGCGCTGATCTTGAAGTCAAAAATGAGATAATTTGCCAAGGGGTACTGTAGAGTAAATTTTAACCATCAGTTAATTTATGGGTGAAGTGCAGAATTGCCCACTTATTTGTTTGGCGCTTTTTACAAGAACAAGAAGAATTGGATTTTTGTCAATTTTCTTTGACTTTTTAAATGAAAATAAGTTGTTGTGTACAAAGTCGAGAGAGTACGCAATGCCATTTTTGTGCAATTCTGGGATTTTTTTTAAGTGAAAATAGGTCGATGTGTACATGGATACTGAGTATGGGCAATTCTTAAAAACACGCCAAGCAGTGGGTGATTCTGCACTTTCCAATAATTTCAATTTTACTACATATAATTCTGCAGATATACCAGGCAAAGTTTTTGTTTTACTTCATTGTTTACTATATCAAGTAATGTAATGTACATTTAAATAGAATTTAAGTGCACCAAGCGAAGTTGGTTGATCTTTGGATTATGGTAACATGGCGATTTGTTGGCGAAAATTTGGCGACCAACTCTGCTATAGGAACTTTCTACTTTTTTTTCTGGCACCATTTTGTCTTCACGAAGTAAAGACATGTTTCTTTTCTTTTTATTTACTGAACACTTTTTCCAACAATCTGCTAGCCGAATTACACTTATGCTAGAAATTTTATGGAACAAAACTGCTTAATTATGACAAATATTAACTACAAAATTTGGAAAAAGTGCAGAATCGCAAACTCCTTGCCGCGTTTTCAGAATCGCACATACACAGTAAACCATGTACACGTCGACTTATTTTTACTTAAAAAAACATCCCAGAATTGCACAAAAATGGCATTGCACACACTCTTCACTTTATCCATGTACACTGCTTTTTTCTCATAAATTAGAAAAATTTGCACGAAAATGCAGTAAAATTTGGCTGATCTTTAGAATATGGTAACTGGTAGTTTGGCAACATTTTGGAGGCGATAAAGGTTACTACCTGGGACTTTGGTAATAATGTGAGCAGTACTCAGTTCCGATTACGCATTATTTTGTGTGAGGGAAATGAGAGATCATGGGATATGTCATGTGATATTAATGGACGAATTACGGTTCTTTAATCGGAAAAGGGGGGAATTTTGAAAAATATTTGTGGCTGTATATTATTTTGTATTAAGCTTCATTGTGTCTTGTGTGAAGCAGGGTTGAATAATTTTGGGATTTTATGGTGCTGTCTAAAGTGAATTTTGGTTGAATGGTGCATGAGTGTAGGTTTAATTGCGGATAAGTATGAATGTCCAAAATGTGGGAATGAAAGAATTGTGTGAAAGGAAGGATACACTGATAAGTTGAAATGGCGGTGAAAGGTGAAAATGGTGAAACGGGGTGTAAGAAGGGGTTTGGTTTAATTATAATTTTAAATAAAAATTAAAAAAAAAAAAAAAATACACCATGTAAGCAAGATTCTGAAGAAGATTAGGTAAGTTAGTATTTTTAATTTTTGAGGATATTTTTTTATGCATTGTTCTAAATGTAAGGTGGCAGTAAAGTAATGGTATACTGGGAAAATGTTATTAGCAATGATTTAGTTTAAGAAATTAGGATTGTAAGCTAATTTTTATTAATTTAATGTGTGCTTATTTATATTTTTTAAGTAGTGTTTTTGAATTTAATTATATTTTAATAAATGATAGTTATTTTGTGAATTTTATGTTTGTAGGAATTGGGATACGTTAGTTGAAGTAAACGTGCATGGAATAATTTAAATTTGACACTAAGTATTTGTAATACTTGCGGTATGAATTCGTTGGTGACAGTTTATAATATAATAGATGATTGATTTAGATAAATTTTGGATATTTTATTATTTTATATCTGGAAATGTTCATATTTTGGAGGGTATATATTTTGCTCTCAGTAATTCATATGTTCTTACCGGGTTTAAAGATTCAAAAAATTGTCCTGTATTTTCGTGAAATTTTCTAATTTATGAGAAAAAAGCAGTACATGGAATAAAAGAGTGTGCGCAGATTTTGTGCAATTCTGGGAATTTTTTAAGTAAATAAGTCGACGTGTACATGGTTATATGTATGTGTTATTTGAAAAACGTTTGTAAGGAGTATGGTATTGTGCACTTTTCCCATTTTGCAGTGAATTTATCA